GTAGTCTTTGTTCACTTTAACTTTTTAAAAAATAAATAAATAAATAAACAAACAGTTTTGAATACTTCGGTATTCATTCTTTTCCTGCTTTGTGTGTCAACTTTCACGGTTGCTAAGCAACAGAGCATACGGCGGTAAAACCCGCCGAAGGGAGGACCTGTTCGAATTCACAGCCAAAACTCTTCCGGTCTCCTTATTTCCAAGGACTTGGAAGGATCCAGTCTAGGTAGACCGCGTCCTTGGAGGATGCAGCCCAGGTTTTCGAACAGAGCCTGAGTCTCAGATTTTAGAGCGCTTTAATAGAGCGCTGGGGGAGTGGCGGTCTAGTGGTTAGGGTATAAAGTTTGGAATCCTCCAATATGAGATCAATAACCTCAATTATAATATTTGTAGTGGACACTAATTCAACTGAATTATTTATATTTTTCTTTATTACATTAATGAATTAATCGTACTCTAGACTCACAGATTTATTAATAAGTTTCACGCCTGCTTAAATAAAGCTTTCGCCTTAATTTGTCTTAGAGAAGGAAACCCAGAAAAAAAAAAGTTTACAAAGTAAAGTTCCAGGTATCCTGAAGCACATATATAGGAAATGAAACCATGAAAACACAGAAAAATAAAAAAATAAAAAGATGAATTCCTTTTTGTTTACCTCTGTAATTTCCACCTTCTCATTGAATTCATCGTAAACATCACCTTGAGGGGAAAAAAAGGAAAATTTAAACACTTTAGCATCTTGTCCAAAAATAAATAATCCCTAACATAACATTTCAGGTTGTCTCTTAACCCCTTCAACCACCGTTGTTGCAAATACGCAACAAACCCTTCGTATAACGTCCCCGGCCATGATGGCGTTCCCTCAGTGCCAGTTATTACAGATTCAGTGTGGATCCAGGAACCTTTAACAGGCTCTGGTTTCCAGTTCAACTGGTCCCTGACCGAGAACTTTATCATTGACAATTATAAATCTGATCACAAATTTCTACCTACATTTCTACATATTTTTGAAAGAAATAGAAAGTTTAGTAATCTATATAACTATATAGATTTTTTGTTTGTTTAGTAATTTTTTTGTTTTTTTTTATTTGTTTATTTTTTATTATATGTACACTACCGTTCAAAAGTTTGGGGACACATAGAAATGTCCTTATTTTTTAAGGAAAAGCACTGTACTTTTCAATGAAGATAACTCTAAACTAGTCTTAACTTTAAAGAAATACACTCTATACATTGCTAATGTGGTAAATGACTATTCTAGCTGCAAATGTCTGGTTTTTGGTGCAATATCTACATCGGTGTATAGAGGCCCATTTTCAGCTACTATCACTCCAGTGTTCTAATGGTACAATGTGTTTGCTCATTGGCTCAGAAGGCTAATTGATGATT